GCGCACACTGTGTCTCACCTAAAAAATGCACTGCGCAGGCTCAAAGGGTAAAGACCTTTCCCAAATCTTCATTCACGAAGACTGGCCACGAAACATATACACAGACAGGTGCTCAGACACGCATGCACTCATGCACACACATCGTGGATGCACCCACTAACTGTACCCTACATGTGCTTCCAAACTCACTTTTCTGACCTTTTAAGTTAGGAACTTTGATAAGTCCTGTGAAGCAAATAATAACTACTCTGGGAATCTGATAGGTTCTTCAAATCTCCCAGTTTACAATACATTAAGGAAATCATCATGGCTAGGCTTCGCGAAAGAAGATTTGGGAATTAAGGAAATACATCTATATTAATTAAATAAAAAATAAACTTGCAATAATTCATGTACGTAGTCAGCTAGAATTTATAATAAAGGATGTATAATGGTTAATTTTGCCTCTCAGTTTTTCATTTTCATGATGTTTAATCTCATAATACCTTTGTAAATAGTTACTTTACATGTCTTCACTCATTACAAAGTTAGATAGGTTATGTAAAATGGTTTTTAAACCTAATTTATTCTGTCATTGAAAGTCTGAAACCAAAACACCCATCTGATAATTTTTGAATCAATTCTAATTTTACAGTTTTTAATTTTTTTTTTAACAGAAAAAAACTATATACATATAAAATATGCAGGTTGAGCACTCGAACACATTCCCATCATTGAGCAGATAAAATTACTATAAGCCACTACTTTAAATCATGAGGGGTTTTATTTACATTCTCCCTATATAACTGGTCCTGGAGTACTGTTCTTATGAAAAAATCTTAAGGAATAAGTAAATATGCAGTTCTGAATTTGGATATGCTCTGGAACTGTTATTTTAAAGGGCATTGCTGTAAAACATAAATTTGTAAGACTCTTAAATATCTTTTCAACATCAATTCAACCCATTCTTCTTTTATTATTTTCACTTTCTTTTGACACCAGGTTATCAGTGAACACAAATAAGAACAGGCAAATTGCCTATTCTGAATTCCCAGTTGGAAGAGGGTCAGATTGGGTAGGACTAACCTGGGAAGTAAATGTGAACATGCTATCTTTAAACCAGGTAGATGGCAAACTGTGTTATCAAAGCATAGAGCTCAGTCTTTTTTCTACACTCTGCTTAGGCACTTCATATAAGATAACTTCAGAGTGTAGTCAGACTGTTTGAATAGACTATAGCTCTTTGGCCAAATCATCCAAATTGAAACTTTTTTTTTCCTTAAAGAATATTCAGGAAAGAAAAGATAATTTCAGAGTTGTTACTGTTCATGTAATGAACCGTTCATGGCCTGTAATACTAAGAGATCTGAGGAACTTAACTAAGTAATCTTTGTAGAAACTAGACACAGTGGTCACCTGCTGACTGTTGTGTTATTTTCCAGCTATTGTTCATTACTAGAAGGGATTTGGAGTCACAGGATTACCAACATTAGTGCTTTTCTAGGCAATTACGTGTGACTTGAAATGAACTGTGATATTTGGTTGGTTTATTTTCCTTTACTTTCTTTTCCAATGACCAGAGAAGGGCATTAAAAAAGTGACCAGAACTTTTCATGCTGGAATCTTGAGTATTTTATGGTCCAAATATTCATGTTACAAGTATCTACACTACTATCCTCTGAAGTTTTGCAGTCTGTATTTCATAATACCTTGCTGTGGGTTTATTATCTTCAATAAAGATAACCGGGCTGGTAATTTTGATATTGAAACAATGCATGTAGGGTGGATTTACTGTGAGAAAGCTCATCTAATCACAACTGAAACTAACCAGATACAGCCTGCATGAAGGGTTAGTGCAATATTTAGCTTGTTTCCATGCTGTGTTCTTCCTGGGAGTACAGTTAAATCCAAATATTTCAGATCTTGGTTTACTTTTGATCTTGAAAATAGGCTTAATGGCTACACTTAAAATATATAAAAGTTGAATCGACAGTAAAGATATGAATTAGTAGAGGTAACCAATAAATGCAGAAACTTGATTAGGAGTGAAAGATAAATTAGATAAATTTAATTCAGGACTTGAATTCTATACTAATTTTACAATACTTTCATTTTTTTGAAAATTAACACTGTTATTAGATACCCAAGTGATAGGAAAATAAAGCACATTGGAATTTAGGATAAGGGGGAAAATCCTAGGTTACTGAGGTCAGTTCCACAATGCAAAGAATGACAAAAAATAACCTGGAATGGACAGCGCGGAGTTCCCTGGTTTGACCTTAACAATGCTTCCACCTAAAAAGCACTGCTTGTTTTCCTTCTATGATATCTGCAAGTGGAAACAGTGTTTCACGTCAGGAAGAAAGCTTTTTGAAAAAATAATGTGTTCTTAACCAAAAATCTAATATTTTTATCATCAATGATTAGTAATGTATCAAAATGTAGTGACTAATCATATTTCCAAATATAACAGCACAACTATCAATGCTGATAAATTATAGCAACTCTTAAATTAGGAACAAAATTATGATTTACCTCCTAATAATCTACATTTTTTGTACCCTCTGCAATCAATGTACTAACTACTTCAAATTATCTACATTTTCATTGATACTTAGGTAGACTCATTGGAAATATATGATATTAAATAATCCAGAACACTCCAAATACTGGTGGTTGTGTGATGCCTTCCAAATAAGTTGTCTGTGTATGGCCAGTCTTCGCAAGCGAAGATTTGGGAAAGGTCTTTACCCTTTGAGCCTGCGCAGTGGATTTGTTAGGTGAGACACAGTGTGCGCTGAACTGAGCCCACCCTTTAATCCTAAGGTTCATCTGCCGGGGCCGAGCAAGCTTGGACGGTGGCAGCGAGGTCCTCAGGACGTAGGTTTGTTTAGAGTGACCTTCTCTTAGATGGATGGCCTTACAGGGCTGACGAGCTCCATCTGCCCAGGGGAGTTTCCCTGACCGGGAATGCGAACCCAGACCGCAGCGGTGAGAGTGCTGCATCCTAACCACTAGACCACCAGGGGTCTCCCAATAAGTTGTCTAAGACAAGAACGAAAAGGAGATTCTTTGAAGGCGTGTCTGATATCTGACTCCTCTTGTATTCTGTGCAGGTTGTGCTTGGTATCTTATGTGAGAACCTACCCTTATATTAGAATTCATAAATAAATTCTGCAACAAAGAGCAAAAAGAACTCATATGCTGATTGTGCTGGGACATTACATTCTTATCTGCATTTGTTGTCATTTTGCTGACATAAATATCAACTCTATAGAAATTATTTTTTCCGATGTTCACAAATGCATCATAGATTGTCAATTCATGGTGATTCTGAAGGGTTTTCAATTTGTTTTCTAAACGAAATAAGGTTGAAACGACAAAAAAATAAGAAAAAAATACATAAAATCATCTTTCTTTTCTAACACATATGATTGTTCTAATTTATTGATTTATTTGTATTTAGCACTTTAAAAAATAATTTCTTAAGAAAATAAAAAATATATAAATAAACCTCCATTTAACAGTATGTCATGCTTTCACGATACATCTTTCACAACTCAACTCCTGGAAACCTCATACAGAAAAGAATACTTTTTCTCCATTTAAATAATTACACTAAAATACATGGAAAGACATGGAACAGAAGAAAAGGATAAAAATATTCAATAGGACCCCTTTTATGTTATTTATGGATTTTTTAAATATATTCTAGGAACTATAATGATTTGATTATGTTTTTATTCTTCCGCTCAAACAGAATGTACCAGTGGTTGTGCAAAGATTAGTGGTGATATTTGGAATTAGCACAGAACAAAGCTGTAGATGTGTGGTGGCTGACCTTGGCTGGTTCTCAGACCCTTACCCAGCCATTCTCTCACCCTGTCTTCTCACCAGCATGAGGGGAGAAGAAAAGATTAAAAAGCTTATGGGTAGAGAAAAAGACAGAGAGATCACTTACCTGTTACTGTCATGGGTAAAGGGGGCTCAAATTGAGGAAAATTGATTTAATTTATTCCCAGTTAATGCAGTTTTGCATAGTGAGAACCAAAGACAAATTACCACAACCTTCCCTATCCCTGCTTCTTTACATTTCCCCCGAGGTGCCTCCCCTCGGCTGTGGGCTCAGCTGTGCCCTGACATGGGTGGGTTGGAGCTGGCTGGAACTGGCTGTGCCCAGCACGGGACAGCCCCGGCCCCCCCTCACAGAACACCCTGCAGCCCCAGCTGGGGCACCAGCACCCTGCAGTGTGTCAAAGTGCCCGTAAGAAATGAGAAAACTGAGTTTCCCTTTCCTTATTCAAGCCTAATTAGTCTTCAGATTTTTGTTTTACTGATACCCACTTTCCTCCTTTAAGCAACATGCACAACTGCAACACACACCACAGTAACTGAGCCAGGCACTTTACACATCCTAAAGACCTGACTCACACGGCACATCTTTGCTACGCCTCAGTGTATTGGTACTCCTTATTTTGTTCCTCTCCACAGTAGTAAGGATTAGAAGATGGATGAGAGATAATTGATGTACTCTCTCTTATACTGACATGGCAAAATTCTGAAAAGGTATTGAGCAACCTCATCTAGCAGAAGGTGTCCCTGCTCCTGGCAGCGGGCTTGGAACCAGTTAATCTTTAAGGTCAGTCTGACCCAAAACATTTTGTGATTCTATCATAAAAGTACTAAAATTACTCTAATACAAGCAAAACACTTGAAAATTTCTATCTAGTTTGCATGCTGCTATGAATGTCTTCTTTCTTTCTGGTAGCTCGTCCTGCTTCATTTATTGCTTTATTCCATCAATAAAGACATATATTTAAAATATTGAATAAGAAATTAGTAAAATTTAACTCTTTGTAAATAAAACACAGAAGCTCTAACTTCAGGTTTCCTTTTTCAGGGGAATATGGATCATAACACCTCTTGGCTTTAGATACAGAACAACATTTGAAGTACAGGTTTTATGCTAATAGCACACATAATGATGAAGAAAATCAAAACTTATCCTACTTCCTTTGCAGGTTTTTCAGGTCGATACTGTGAAACAGAAATGAACGAGTGTGATTCTGCTCCCTGCTTGAATGGTGCTGTCTGTCAGAATGATGTCAACAGCTATGATTGTTTTTGCCCGGAAGGTAAATTGTTGAAAATAATTTATTTTTATTATCTTTGACAATTTTCAAAACTGTCTGCAGTTTGCAAAACAACTTTTCGACAGTCTTCAAAGCCGTCGTTAAAATTTCCTTTCTGTGAAAAATTTCCTTTCTGTGAAAGTTATTAATTCTTTTCCAAAGTCTCATTTACATCTTTCCTTACTGAGGCAATATGCCCACCAAAACAACTAAGGGTGGAGACAGATATACTTGGAAGCGGTACCTTTTTTTCAGACAGAACTTTGTGATTGCAGCACAGTCCAAAGGAGTGAAAAAAAAGATAAATGAGAAGTACATGAATTCCATGGAAAGTATAATCAATAAACTTATAAAAAAACTATTTCAACCTGAGTTACTAATGGGCAGCTTTCTGAGTCTAGCAAGCAAATGACAATGGTCATAGTAATTACTTTAATAGGTTTCCACTACAAAAATCTATTAAAATTTTCACAGACAAAAATAATGTGATTTTCAGCACCAGTAGTCCGTTTCTTTAAAAATACACAGTGCTCAGTGTTATCAGAACTCTATGAACAAATGAATGATATCAAGAAAAAAGTAGTCAAAGTAAAATGTTTCAAAACATTTAAAATTACAGTGTCATTCTGAAATACTTTCAAAAATGGGTTTTCTGAATATTTGTAGGTTTAGATTTATTTTAATTGGATTTTTATTTAAAAATAAAGCAAATCTGTTATGTTGTTTCTATGTTTTAAACTTTTTTGATTTTAATCTTCGAATTGTACTATTTTCTAAGTATATGATCATGGGAGCTGATTTCATAACTTACAATATTTCGGTATGTATATATTAATATCAACATTCCAGTGGTGATAACTTCAGAAACTCATCACAAAAGATGAAATTGCCACAAATAAGCACAGCCTCTGTAATTAATTGGCTTAAATTAGAAGCCAAAACAGACATTGGAAGGTAGCTGAAAATTAACCTTGGAAAAGATCATTCTGCTGTTTAGACTGCATGGCCAGCTTATAAAAATAAATCTCGGCATCCACATTGATAATTTTGTGGCTTACTTGTTATCTGTGAGGCATGAGTCTGATTAAACTCCAAATGCAAGTAAGAACTGTTATTCTATACATTATTAATGAATTAAGGGTAATTCTAAAATTTTATGACTTAAGGAACAGTGAAAATTGGTTCCATGGTCAGTTTGAGAAATTATGAGAATATGCCTTGCACTGAGGGTGCCAGTAGCTTAGCATTAGTCATGGTCTTCCTGCAACCATGGCCTTTGACAGCACTAATGATAGTCATTTTGTAGCATGACCATGAATTAGAATACATTTACAAAAGCATAAAATGTCAGATATTAGAGAGGAGATTCTCTCGCAATCAACTACAAAAAAACGCTGTTGGACTTCTGAGGTTGCTAAAAGTCACTATGACACAAGAAACTGGGGTTGTTTAGTCTAGAGAAAAAGAGGCTCAGGGAGGACCTCATTGCTCTCTACAGCTACCTGAAAGGAGGTTACAGTGAGGTGGGAGTTGGCCTCTTCTGCTGTATCTCAAGTGAAAGGACGAGAGGAAATAGCCTCAAGTTGCACTAGGGTAGGTTGGGATCAGATATTCGAAAAAAAAAAATATCACTGAAAGAGTGCTTAGACATTGGAATAAGTTTCACAGGGAGATGGTGAAGTCACCATCTCAGGAAGTATTCAAGAGGCATCTGGATGTGGCACTTGGAGATATTGTTTGGGAGGGATTATGGCGGTGCTGGATTGGTAGTTGGACTGGATGATCTAGAAGGTCTCTTCCATCTTGATAATTCTGTGATACTGTGAAATAAATAAAGAAAAAATAGAGAAATAATTGAGAGCTGATTTTAAGAGAGATTTTAAGAGCTGACTTTTATTTTGGGAACAGATGTCCAAATCCCAACATCACTTAATCTGCAATGTTGTCAAAATGTCAGCAGATACATAAATTCTTAAGTCTCTGCTAAAATACAAGTTCAAAATAAGTTCAAAATCCTAAATTTGTTAATAATTTATAATTTATGTATTTATAATAATTTATTATCTCTTTTTAAAGTATATTTGATGGACAAATGCATTTTTCAATTCATGACAGAGCAGAAAAAGCTTTTAGAATGATCTTGCCATAAAACTTCAAATTATTTTTTACGAGAGTAAACTGAAAACAAGGAACCCAAAGACATGCTTTAGAAAAATAAGGCACAAATATAGCTGAATAATGTAAAGCTCTTTTCTGTTTTTTTTTCAAACCAAGGATTTGAAGGTCTGAACTGTGAAATCAACTTTGATGAGTGTGCTTTTGGCTTCTGTAAAAGCAATTCAACTTGTTTAGATCTAGTTGCAGACTACATATGTGCTTGTCCTCCAGGATTCACTGGTAAGATTTATTTTAACCTTGGAAAGATATTAAATAGCTAGACTATTTATTTTCTTTTCTGAAATTAATTGCATTTTGTTCAGTGTTTTAGCATTACTGAATAAAAACTCAACTCAGTTTTCTGTGTGATTGATAATCTGCTTTAATTTCCCTCCTGATATGGTAATAAATGAAAGCAGTGTATGTTTGCTATTTGATTAGTTAATGGAAGGCAAAACTGTATTTTGCCTAGAAAAAAAAGTGTTCAAAAAACACCCAGCCTATGAAACATAGGTGAGCAGGTAGCTATAGCTGGTGCTATTTTTCTTCAGAAGATCTTATATGAGATATACTTGACTGAGATGAAAAAATGAACACAATTTTAGTAGGAGGACACTTTGTTCTCTTCAAGGAAGATGCCATCAGATCCTCATGATAAACAGCTTGTAAGTTGCACAATTATTTGTGTGTCTAACAGGTTTAAGAAAATATCTCTTGCATCAGGAATAGTCTTCATGGCCTTACTTTCTGCCAGAAGCAGCTAACAGGATCATGGGGAAATCAATAAAACTGTCTCAAAAAATATACCATTTTAACAACTATGTTGGAGGCTGGAACACCTTGACTTTAAGCTGCTGATTTCAGGGAGGCAAATGGAGCATCATTAATCATAAGTGATAACAGGAAGACAAGTAGTGGCAGTCTAAGAAATCATACATGGTTAGTAGGTGTTCTAATAAAAAGTTAAACAGATATGTACAAGAGTTCAAAATCTTTGGAGAGGAAAGAAAAAAAAATGAAAGGATCTATTACTTAGAAAAGTTAAAAAATCAATGAAGGATGAGGAGGCAAAATTAGGTTAGAAGTAGAGCATTTCAGGTTGATAGTGACACCAGTGACAGTTTAGGAGCACTTCATACATATTTTGTCAATGGTTAAAAATAGGAAGATGGAACATAAGGAATGTAAGATGACACACAGAGATTTAGAATCTGTGAAAGTAATAATAGTTGCAATTTCCACAGACATCTGCGAGTTTTCTTGATTCATGCAAACATATTCTAATATTATTCAGCATTTCAAAACTGAGATGTGCCCTATTTCCTACAAGATCTTATTCTCCTTTTTACTTTGGTAACTGTCTTTGCTGTCACGAGTTTGCATAGTATATGTCTATTTCATATCAATTTTGAAAATAACACAGGTGATTGCAATGTATTTGTTTATACAAGAGAAGAAGTTTTAATGCAATAATTTTAAAAGAAGGAGCTTTGAAAACTTTGTGCTATACTGCTAGAATCAAAATGGAAAATGTCTAGCTTTTCTGTAGCAAGCTGCTAACAGTCAGTTTGAACAAGGATGTGCAAGAAAAGTTGTTCCTTTGAAAATACAGCTACACTACTTTGGGATATGATAGAATCCACATTACAGAGCCAGAACTATAAACTAATGTGTGTGTGTCACCAAGACAGCCTAGGATAGAGGATGTTTTCCTTAGGACAAACTCTAATCCTAAATTCATACTGATGCAAACAGTTAGTCAATGACATATCTGTTAATTCCAAGACAAAAGGGATTCAGGATCTATCAATGGTAAAAACAGTTACCAGTAAGTTATAAGTAGACTTTAATGGATACCTTAAGGCTTATATTGAAGTCATAGGTCACATGACTGCATAATGCACCATTGTGAAACAGTTCTATTTTCTCCTGCCTTTCCTATGTGAGAGACTTCTCATCAAAAATATGCTGTTGATCTCACTTCATATTAGCTTTTTTTTTTGTTTGTGAGATAGGACAGCTCCCACAAGAAAGCAAATCCAACACTCTACTGACTGGAATTATAAGTAGGAACAAGGACCCTCCTGATTACACTGAATATTTTCATCTGTGCTCATGCTGTTCGTATAATTAATTTGCAGTCAGTCATTGTGGATCTCATTAGGTCTACTCTCTCCAAGTCTTCCAGGATCTGCTTCAGTGTCCCTAGAAAGATTCTTCAATGCAAAATACTGCATATTTGAGCTCCTACCTTCTAAGAAAAGCAAACAGTGGTCCAAGAATGGTATAAATGGTGCAAGAGGCTATTGTCATAGTAGCAGTGATATACTCAGCTTGTTAAGGGCGAAAGGAAACACAGTGTATATATAGGAACAGTTTGTTTATCCTCTTAATATTTAAACAATGTAGAGAAGTGCCATTAACAGCACAGTTAGCTCATTAGAACAGTTAGCTCTGATTACATGGAGGAACAAGTTAGAAAGTTCACCAACAGATCTGCTAATGCCCTGTCAATCACACCTTATATTCTTCTGACGAGACCTGATCAAGGAAACGAAATTTGAAAATGTCAAGTAAATGTATATGACTGATTTTTACTTCTCTATTTCTTTTAAACACATTTTTGCTTTCCTAGCATGTTAAAACTCATTTCCAAATAAAGTTAACCTTTAGCATCTGAACTAGTTGGGCATAAATTTGTCTAGTTGGTTGTTTCTTTTGCTGTTTACTAGCTCTGTGCCTGGCGGCATCAATCCTATTTGGTGTCACATGCCTTATGCACTAAAGCTCTGCTGGAAGGGCAGCTTTGGACAGGAGGGAGACAGCTGCCTGTTTGAATGGCCTTGGCTGTGGTGCGCCACAGGTAGCGGAGCTTGGTCCTTCCCTGGGAACAGAGCTGGAAAGAGGCAATGCTGTGCGTGTGGCAGGGAGAAGGGCTGGGTGGAGCGAGAAAATCTTCTGCTGAAGGAAAGCCAGCAGAGCAGGAACACCCAAAACAGCTGAGAGAGTCCTGAGAGGACCAGGGAGTCTTCTTGCAGCTTCTGCTTCCTAGAGCATCTTTTTGTTGTTAGAAGAGTGAGTACTGGAGTACTGGAAGCCTTTGCAACCTGCTGCATGGCATTTCCTTTACTCTTTGCAAGATAGGCAGACAGAGAAAAGCAGCTCCTGAGAAAAACAAGGAAAATACTTTCTCTCTTCAATCAAAGCTTGCTCTCAAGTGCCCTCTCGTGGGAGTCTGCATATGCAGGATCACGGTAATTATCCCACAGTAAAGGGCTACTAGACAAATGGAGAGATGGCAGCACTGCAACCTCCTCCCTCACAACGCTTTGTTCAATTTTGCTAATTAGAGGGGTTTTGAGAACCTCTGGCTGTAAACCTGACTAGCCTCAAAAATTAGAAAAAGACTTGCTCAGCATATCCAGATTAGTTAATTCTGGGCATTAACCAAACCTGAAGACAGGTGAAGTAAGGAATTTTAATATTTTTGTCCTATTAATATTTAATATTAAACAATAGGACAAACCTTTAGTCCCTGAAGTAGTAAGATACCTTGAAGCAAAGCATCAATCAGGTGGGATGGTATTGAAGTCATCAATGATACAGAAGGAGAAGGCAATTTTATGAGGTGTTGGTTACTGACCGTTTTCTTTATTTGAGTGGATTTTCTCTGGTAATGAAAGACACTGGGATGAAAGAATTTTGTAAGTCGCTGTTCTGGGATGAGAAGACATGGTTTTTTAATCTTAAATAAATGATGTGATTATATTTTGTTCATTGTAAAGCCTTTGTCCATTTTAAATTTTAGAAGAGATTATTAGTTAAACAGATTTCAATAGTGTGCTTCCAAAGTGATTTTTACCTTAGCACTTAGCACTGAAGTTTGTTGTAGTTTTTATGCATGAGATTCTTAATCTGACTTCTTCACTTATATCATTGTCCATATGAATTATCTATGTGCAAAATCATCCTTGCTTTAGGTTTACCTGTTCATTATTATAATGAAACAGTATGAATCAATAGTCAGATTCTACCATCAGTCACATGTTGACTTAAAAATCTTTAGGTTTTATACAACAGATTAAATAAATTTGAAAGCCTTTTAATCTGCTTTCTGAAGATCAGATCTATGTAGTTTCATCTAAGATGTCTCATACTATTGAGCTTTTGGAACTTTGTGTAGCTATTGTGGCTAAACAAGTGCTCAGTGCAACACTGAACATTCAAAAACCAAAATCATAAAAGGATGTGCAGTGTCTTCCAGCTCAATTCATTCAATGATAAGACAAAAAGCGATACCTTTCTTTGTGCTTTTGAAAATCTTTTCCTGTCCATTCTTTTCCTATGGAAAAGAATCTTTGTTTTCAGTAAGCCTGCAAAAGTTATTCTATTTTAGGCAGCTTCTGTCTGACACATACATTTTTAGTTAATATCAGGACAACTGCACAGTTTAAAATTATTGACTTGGTCCATTCTCCATTCCATACTAATCATATCTAGTTCTGTCCTCAACAATCAAAGATAAAAACTAGGCTGAGAAATCTACCTCTACCCAAAGGAAGGTTGTAGCAAGGTGGGGGTTGGCCTCTTCTCCCAGGCAACTAGTGACAGGATGAAAGTACACAGCCTTAAGATGCACCAGGTAGGTTCAGGTTGGACATCAGGAAAAATTTCTTCATGCCAAGGGTTGTCAAGCATTAGAACAGGCTGCCAGTGAGGTGGTGGAGTCACCATCCCTGGAGGAGTTCAAGAAACAACTGGACATGGCACTTATTGACATGGTGGTGATAGGTCAAAAGATGGACTTAATCATCCTGGAAGTCTATTCCAACCTAAATGTTTCTATTATTATGTGAGTCTGTGATCTATTATTGCTCACTCATCTTTAGAGTCAGTCATAGGAACTCAGTCCTGTTCGCATCTCATTTATCAGATTACTGTTCCACATCAGTTGGCCCTTATGGTTCATAGAGAAGCAGCCCAAAAGTCAGGTCTTCTTTTCTCCAATGTCCGCTAATGAGGAAATTCATTTAAACAGCATGCCTGTGTCTGATCTGCAGTCAAGGCAGTAAGGTTTTTCAAACCAAACCAAAACCTGGAAACTGAAGACTGAAGAGAGAGGGATGTTTCCCTGGCTCCTGGCCAGCAGAGCTCTGAGTCATAGTGGACCACGGTGGCACAAGAATGAAGGCTGACTGCCTTTCCCCTGCTCATCTGGAACACTGCAGATGGGCTGCCGG